GCTTTCTTTAAGATTTGGAAGGCCCTTTCTGCTTCTTGGTTCCACTGGAAGGCATCTTTTTTGAGTAAATTAGTAAGTGGTTTACTCAAAACACCAAAGTCTTTTACAAAACGCCTGTAATATCCAGCAAGCCCCAGAAATCCCCTGAGTTGCTTAATGTTGGTAGGGCTAGTCCAGGCTTGGATACTCTCCACCTTGCTGGTATCCATATCTATCCGGGCTTCTGAGATTACATGGCCTAGGTATTCAATGGCATTCTGAGCAAAGGAGCATTTGCTCCTCTTAGCAAACAATTCATGCTCTTTCAACACTTCCATTACCACAGTGAGGTGAATAACATGATCTTGCAAAGTGAGGCTGTAAATGAGTATATCATCAAAGAAAACCAATACAAACTTACGGATGTAAGGTTTAAAGACTTGATTCATTAAAGATTGGAAAGTGGCAGGAGCATTAGTAAGACCAAAGGGCATAACCAGGTATTCAAAATGTCCATGGTGTGTCTGAAATGCAGTTTTTGGCACATCTTCTGTCTTTACTCTGATTTGATGATATCCTGCTCGCAAATCAATCTTAGAAAAGTATTTAGCGCCTTTCAATTCGTCAAGTAATTCTTCTATTACTGGAATAGGGTACCTGCTTTTAATAGTTAAGGCATTCAGACGCCGGTAATCAATCCAAAGCCTCCATTCCTTCTCCTTCTTGGGAACTAGTAAAACAGGTGAATCATAGGGACTGTTGCTTTCATGTACTATTCCCTTACTTAGCATATCCTCCACTTGAGCTTCTATCTCATCTTTGTGTGCATGAGCGTACCGGTAGGGCTTCAGCTTAAAGGGTACAGCATCCGGCTTTAAACAGATTTGATGATCAATACTCTTAACAGGAGGTGAAGAAGTTGGTTCTTTGAAAATTTCTGGAAAGGCATCTATGACTTCCAGGATTTCCACTGGTATGGCTCCAATATTAACAGCACTTAAGATCCCGGCATTTTCAAATTCACCCCCATTGTAGTGTTGCTCTCTTTGTCGCTTTAACTGGTTAACAATCCTCCTTCTTTCCTCCATTTGGACTTCTTTCAAAATTTCATATTCTACTCTCCTTTTATGATACAAACTCCTTCTGTATTCAGCTTCCTGCTTGTCAAATTCATCTATAGATTGGCCTTTAAGAATGAGTACCTCCCCTCTTCTGTGCAGCTGTATGGAGAAAGCCCCATAGTCAAACAATATAGGACTGAAATGGGTCATCCAATCAGTTCCTAGGACTAAATCCCAGTTCCCAAGTTCTAGCAACCTCAAGTCAAACTTAAAGTGATACTGTTGAATGTTCCACTGAGCGTCGGGACATATTTGATCATTTTTAATTCTGTATCCATCAGCCACTGATACCATAAAAGGTTTAACTTTCTTTCTTCCTAAGCCCAGTTTAAGAGCCAACTTGCTACTCAGGAAACTTTTGGCTGCTCCTGTATCTATCAAGATCTTTAGAGCTACCTTGCCAATATATCCAACGAGAACAATAATCCTGCTGTCTTCATCATTCTTAGAGAAACAGTCTTCAAGCTGGGCGATTGCAAGTAGGGGATCAGCCTTGGTGAGTTCTGTGATAGCATTATCTTCTGGTTCCTGCTGTAACCAATCAAGATCCCCTAAATCATCATTCTCTTCTGCGGCAATAAAATTAATCTGTTGGAGCTTACATATGTGACCCGGTCCCCATTTCTCACCACATTTCCAGCATAAGTTATTATTGCGCCTATACTGAATTTCTTGGGGTGCAATTCTCTTAAAGTGATCATTTCCAGCCCTTCTAGCCCCAGAATTACTCAGGTGACTTCTGCTGATGGTCTTTCCAGTAGGATGGTAAGGTTTAAAAGAAGTACTTTGGTTACAGTTTTTGGCCAACATCTCTTTAACAGTAAATTCCAAAGTCTTCTCTTGCACTTGAGCAATTTCAAAACCTCTTAAAAGCATGGGAGGTTCTAACAATCTAACCATTGGTTTCAACTCTTCTCTTAACCCACTGATAAAACTAGAAATAAAGTAAGCTTCAGTTAAACGAGGATCCCCACACAAGACTAAAGATTTTAACTCTTCAAATTTCTCATGATATTCCATCACAGTTCCTGTTTGTTGTAACTTATTGAACTCCTCTATTTCATTCATTCCTCCTTTTTCACCGAACCTTTTCACCAATTCCCTCTCAAATTCAAGCCAAGTAAGCCCCCCTTTTACTCTTTTCAGACTTTGGTACCACAAATCAGCCTTCCCTTCCAAATATAGTTCAATAACATCCATTCTATCAGTACCAGGAACCTTATAAATGCTAAAGTATTTATCACATTTTCTCAGCCAATCACGAGGGTTATCACCACAAAAATTAATAAGTTCCAATCTTGGTTGATTAAGCCATGAATTCTTACCATTCTTATCTCTCCAAGGGCTAGGAGACTCACCCTCTAAGTCAGTTCTGAATACTCCTGCAGGATTTGGCAGTCGAGGAGATTTCTCATTGGATACTCCTGCCGGATTTGGCAGCAGAGGCGATTTCTCACTGTGCAGAGCTCCCTTGTTTCCATCCTTCTGCCAGATCTGCAAAAGGCTCGACAACTGGTTGCTAAGATTCACGAACTATTGTGCCTGATGATCAATTTTTGTTTCCAACTGTGTTCCCCAGTTGCTGATTTTTTCCTCCATACTCGTTTGACCATCACTAACTTGCTTTTCCATCAATCTTCTCCATTCGTTTATCTCAACCATTTGAAGATCCTGTTTTTTTGCATGTTCCTCCAACAGTTGAGTTTTAGATCTAGTTTCAGCCATTTTCACACTGTCCAAAAGATCAACCTGCTCTGGATACCAAATGTGATGGTATAAACACCCTTATAACCCGAAAACAGAAAGAGGATTAAGATTTCAGATTGGAAGAGATGAGTTAAGCAAAGAGGGAGATGAGAAAAGAAAGAATTTTGGGGAAGAAAATGAAGTAGAAAGAAAGCTGAAATAAGGAGAAATTCATTTCATAATAATGCCCTCATCGGATTCTCGGTACATATATAAACAGAGGAGATTCCTGCTAATCCTTTAATTTAGCTAACAGCTCAGCAATTGTAAGGTGAAGAAAAAGACAAAGCAACGGTATTGGACAGCTGCTACTTAGTACGTTTTGGACGTTTGCATTGGAAGAAATTTCCAGGAAACTGCCTCAGAAGCTTGGTCCCCAATTAAAGCTGAACGACGCCGTTTAATCACCCTAATTGATAACTCGAGGAATTACCCGAAGTCGTCTAACCCGCTTTCATAACCCGATCTACATGACATAAAGTAATTGTTCCATTAAGCCCATCTTCCGGTATGAACCAATAAACAAAAACCTTTCAATTATTATCAAGACCTTATACTTTCAATTAATTAAAGATTGACTCCCTTATTTATTTTATTAGTTGTTATAGACTTTAAAGTTTCATGATACTAATCACTAGTCTCATAACTTTTCATCCAATACAACAGATTTATCTACACCCTTATTAGTTCTAAGAAGAATCCCCGCACCCGTATCCGTGTCCAAATCCATACCCGCGTATCCTAATTTTACAAAGTTGACGAGTCCGACACTTAGATCCCGGATCGTACCGGACACCCATACCCGAGTCCGGGTAACATAGATGTCAGGTGACACGATTTCGATGTGGTGGTTTCAGCTTCGGCCTGTGTTTCAACCACACAATAGCAGATGCTGTCGGAATTGTCCAATTTCAAAAGGGCTCTGGCCGAAATATCCAGAGGAGCCTCTGTTCCTACAGTAACCCTCCAAAAATCACATGCGTCCACCACGAATATGATCATAATTCATTCTTGGATAATGGAATTGATTCCGATCCCTTCACCAAGAACATACTGAGTTCTGAGTTGGTCCGGAAAACCTTTTTCTTCGGCCCGGCCGAGATCTCTGCTCTGCGCAGCTCACTCCCGCCTCACCTCCGCCTCAAATGTTCAAGCTTCGATGTCATCGCCTCCTGTCTCTGGCGATGTGGCGCCGAGGCCCTCCAATTCAACTCCGATGAGGAAGTAAGATTCGTTCCGGCTGTTAATTCCCGTGAATTGCCTGAAGGGTATTACGGCAATGCCATTGCATTACCTGCCGTGGTGACCACAGCAGGGAATCTAATCGAGAACCCTATCAGTTTCGCGGTAGAGCAGGTAATGAAAGCTAAGTTGGTGGTGACTTAAGAGTACATGAAGTCACTGGCAAACATGATTGTTTTGAAAGGAAGGTTAAAAGGTTGGCCGCAACTTCCAAAAGCGAGCACATATTGGGTTTCCGACATTAGGAGGACTGGATTCCATGAGATCGATTTTGGGTGGGGAAAACCGGCTTACGCTGGGGCGGCAGTCACTGATACGGAGCCTTGGCATGGATGGGTTAGCTTCCTCATTCACAAGGAGAATAAACAATGGTTGAAAGGGATGTTTGTTCCGGTTTGCTTTCCAGAAGCTGCCATGAAAAGGTTTAGTGAAGAGATCAAGATGATGGTGAAAAGCCCTGTGTAGGAAGTATGAAGGTAGAAAATTTATGAATGATTTCTTCTCAAAACTAAAGATTTACATGCTTAACATTCGCCGAGACTCCCTTTGGCTAGCTATGCGCGGTTTCAATTGTCTTCTGTAAACCGCAGTTGAAATTTAAAGATTGAAATCATTCATTTTTCGGGTGCGCTAATATCTGTTCCCTTAGTGGTACTACCGTGTGGCTCTCTTGCAATTTCTCACTGTCCCTTAAGTAAGGAAAAAATGAATGTGTATCCATCAGTCAATCAAATGATTTCTGATCAAGTCTTTACACACTATTGGACCTTTACCAAATATGATTACTAAAAAATATTATGTAGAAACTAGAAACACAGCATTGTAGATAACAAAGTCGAAAGAATTGAATAAGCCCTGCAGTATTTCTGAAAAAAAATGTGGGGGACTTCGAAAGATTGAACAATGTATCAGTCAATAAGCTGATGGTACACCTTGCTGTATGTCACCGAATGATACAACATTCCCAGGTCGTGAAAATACAACCTGCGATTTAGTTTTATAGTTTTCGGGATGTTACAGACTCGAAATTTAGAATGTTGCAGAATGGATCAAACAAATTAACTGATTTGTTAGTCAGAAAATAGTATACCTGATAGTTTCCAAGGGTACAAGTTTTGAATCCAGCTGCACAGTAATCAAAGTAGTATTCCCATGTCCTGATGAACTTTTTGTCGAAACCCAATTCCATGATTTCACTGAGGAAAAACCATTCATGTGCATTCATCAGAACTTTTTAAATCAGTAAGATTGTATATTGGGTGACCAAAAAATGAGATTGAATGATTGATGAATGGAAATAAACCTTTGTTTTTCCAGGAAGTTTTTTCTCCAACATCTTAGAGTCTGATAGTAATGGATACCAATATTTTCCAGATGTTCCACACTGCATTTTGAGGTCTTCATAAGTTTCCCACGCGGCAAAAGCTTGAAACAAATTGAATTGAATCATGTGAAAAAGTTTACCAGAGTCTTGATGCGGATGCCATGGCTGTTGCTACTCTGCTTAATGAGGGTAAACAACCTCCTGGAAATATGTATTCCTTTATGAAGTCTGAGCTTCGCCTGTACTCATCGTATCTTTCATCCGGTATCGAAATGAACTGAAATCCCAGGCATCCATACGTGCGTTTTAGCAAAATTTAACGCCAATCGAAACTGATCAAACCCAGTTTTGTTCTTTACATCAATTAGTTTACCTGTAGAACCATTATCCCATTTTCTGCTAATACAGAGTTGCAGCTGCTGAAAAACTTTTCCATGAATTCATGACCTACAGCTTCTAACATTTCACTGCAATGTATGTTGGATGATGATAAATACTCATGGAGTTCATTGGCACAATACAGAACTTGGTGACAGATGAACTCACCATGATATGATTCTGTCGTATTTATAGGTATCTGGCAATTGTCGGTAGTCACAAAGAATAAATTTTATGTGATCCTGGAAAGGAAATTAATTCAAGACAGAACGTCATGATCAAAGGGTTCAAATGCAAGAACATTCAAACCAGTCTCAATATAAAATGGTAAAAAACATTTCTGTTGAAAAGGGCAAAATATAACGTAGTTTTCGGTGTGAAAAATTTCAATGAATGATACCTGTAATCCAGCTTCCTTCACTTTTTGTTCTGCATACATCAGTTGTTTTTCAGAAAGGGTGATTCCGGTGTATTGGCAACCTGTTCTTCTAACAACCTCAATTGCTAAAGTTCCCCAACCGAATCCAATTTCTAGTACATGGTGTTCCTTACTGATTCTGGCCTAGATGATTAGCAGCTAAGTTAGAAAATGAACATGACTTCAGTGCCAAACAACTTTCGGTTCTAAAGGCTTCTGTTAGAAAAAAACCTCACCTTTTCGATCAGCAAAGAAACCTTTCGCAACTGTGCGATTTTCAAGTCCTCATCTTCCGACTACAAGTATGACAAGAGGAGGGTTTAAAAAGAAATATAAGGAAATGAAAATGCAGTTTACAAAAGGCTTTAGAAGTACTGAAACAGTTACCTTAAATATTGCACATGAGTATGTCATTGACTCATCCAGGAACAGAGAAAAAAGTTCATTACTCTGAAAAGGAACAGAGAGATAATTCTTCATTTACTATTGGTAGTTTGTCAAACTTTTGACAGAAATTGAGCAGTTAGCTTCTCAACATCTCTTTGATGAATTGTATCTATCTTTTTTGAAGTTGGAATTATATCAATCTGAAATGATAGGTTACCAGTTTCCTGACAATGTTAATAATAACATATCCTACGAAGATAATATCAAGGCAAGTTCTTTTATTCAAGTATCTTGCAGATTTTTCTGCTACAAACAGATGGTTTATTCACCAGGTCATAATGCCGAGAAATGTTTCGCCGAGCCTGAGTTAAAGTATTTTGCCTAGAAACATGTTGGAAGAAATACTTTGCAGATGCTAATCCTGCTGTCAAAAGCAATGGTGTCCACCATCCCCTGCCCAGCAAAGGTTCTCAGTGCATGAGTATTAACCAATGAAAATCACTAAATAGTGTGGTGTCGTATGCTAAATAACATAAAAAACTATATAAGTAGATATTTTTTGAAGTCTTTTACCTTTTGGAACTAGAACTTGGAGCAGAAGCATTTAAATCTCTATTGGCAATGCAAATCTGCCAAAAAAAATTAGAAGGATAATCTTGATGACATAAAACGAAAGTTTGTTATATTCCCATCAACTCACCATAAATAGGTTGAGCAATCCTTCATCTTTGTCTACGAAAGAAATATCCCCATTAATGTAAGCATCTGCCAGGCCTAAATCGGCTTGAGTCGCGACCTGAAATAAACATCAAATGCATGTATAATTGAAGCTTATAGAGGATATGAGGGCAAGTTCAACTGAGTAATGACATCAAAGGGAAAATGTATGGTACCTTCCAATAAAACTGCGGAGTATGAACTTTTATAGAAACTTTCAGGAAGTTTTTCTTTGTTGTTCCTTCGAAGGTGAACATTGTACCGCCTTCTTCTAGTAAACTGTCCAGTGAACGCAATTTGTACATGAGTCAGAACCTTTCTCAGACAATATCTTCTACAATGAAGCATGTAAGACCTTGCAGATTTATTTACTTTTTTTTTTTTTTTGTTTTTGGTCCAAATTGACTCACATTAAGCATCCAGTGGCAATAAAACTGCTGAGAAATCTAGTAACCAAAATGCGTGCCCCGGATTCTGTCCAGGAAGGTACCATATGCTTGGGGTTCTCCAGCAAAGTACAACTCTTGAAGAGCAAGCTTTGTGCAGCACTCATACCAGCCTGCAAGGAATTGAACAATCTCAGTTGCATCCAATTCATCAATTTGGGTCAAATGGGACCAAAACAAATGCAGAGAGATGCATATTGTTTCGGTATAAGCCGATACTGTTTCTCCTGTATCCTTTATATTTGGTTTTCGCAAAGGTGTGTCATGGTTGTGAAAATGGCAATCTAGTGCAAATAAGATAGGGTAGATCGAGTACCTTTAACCCATCTTCATGGAATCCATATCCTGGAAAAGAAGTACTTATTGCATTAATAAAAGCCCTCATTCAATAAGCTAAACCTAAGGAAAAGAAGTTCTTAATTTAAGAGTGTGTATGTCCTGAATTAGCTTGCCTTGATATGCTCCACAGAACCATATTTTCCTTTTCCCCTGGATCTGGTAAAGTTGAGTCGAAGCTTTTGAGGCTGTTACAGATGGAACCGGATGGCCTGTTTGCCACTTAAGTAAAGTATGCTCTGGTGTATGAGGTGGATTTAGAGTCACCAAGTAAGGGAGCTCGGTTTCCCCAAGATTCTGCACACCAGAAACTTTTACTTTTTGCTGAACATTGAGTAACTTTAAAAATCCATTTGTAAGGTTTCAGCAATTTTGAAGTAGAGGATATTAGTCATACGACAAACCTGGAGAAGGTTTAGCCAATATGTTACGCATACTTTGTTATCCACAGTTCCAAGAAAATTCCAAGCACTCCACGCTGCTGGATTTTTGGGCATTAAAGTTTTGTCACGATGAAGGTAAATGTCACTGCCATAAAGGGTTAAAGAATGAATCTGCATTTTGAACTGGGAAAATGTCACAGCATTTTAGCAAGAAATAAGAACAAACCGACAGAATATCCTAAAGTAAGGTGCAAAGGCTAGGGAATAATGTTGATATGCCGCGACACTTAAATTGATGTTGCAGTAATTGGATCAGGATAAACATGGGTAGTATCTACCTGTAGGCATACTGGAAGGCACCGAGTATTCTTGATTCTTCGAAAGTCGCATCTTCCCCTAACATTTTCAGAGCATCCGGAGCATGGGCAGCCACTATGCACACATCGTAAGTCGCCTGGGTACCATCCTTACAAGTAACAATGCAGCCTGTACAAGTTGAAAACATGTCAATCCTACAAGCATTTATCAGATGATCAACAACCTGAAGATAGAAATCTTATTCTCATATAGCCGCATAATAATTGAAGGTTAAACTGAAGACAACAAGATTGCACTTTTGTTCCTTTGGAAATACAATTGCCTATAAGATCTGCCTTAAAACAAACTAGAATACGCACCATCATCATTATTTGAAACAGCACTCACTTCACAGTCATTTCGTATTTGACAGCCTTTCTTTTCTAGATCATCGCGAACCTGAATCAGTTAAAAAAGATTAATTTTGCTAGCAGAAAATCACCCCTTAAATTCTATTTCATGAGCAAATTGTTTCTCTGATCAAAGGAAACTTAATTTTGTGAATTCTTGGGAAAATTACCTTTGAGACATATTTATGTGAGCGCCATCTCACTGTGAGCCACTGCGGGCGGCCAAAGAGCTGCTCATCAAATAAAAGGTTGTCTTTAAATTTTGTCAAAGAATAGCAAGACAAAGATATGCAGCTAAGCAACGATTTAAGTGATGCATGCTAGAGGGGATGCACCTGAAGAAGATGGTGATTCCGGCAAAAGGAAAGAATAGAATAAGCAGAGAAGTTCAGCACTCCTTCTGAAGAACATGACCAGATTGAAGCACATATTGGAACCTGCAGGCAGTTCAGTTATTCTCCACATCAATATCTCTATAAAAGTTGCAGGTTGATAAAATAATACAAGTTAAAATGCTTATGAGTAGCCTTACAAGATAGGCCTTCTGAAATAACTCCGAATAACCATGTGACTTGATAAACTGCCCCAATGTCTCATTTCTATCTATATCTGGATTCCTCTCTAGCTGTTCAACATAACTGCAAACGATCAGTAAGCAAACATTTCCATCAGATCAGCTCATTCCTTCAGGAGATCATAATTATTGTATAATCTGGACTGTGTCATTTTATTAGTAACACACAGTTAGTACTCAAATTGTGAGACCAAATCTTTCATCAGCAGGGCGCATACACAAAAGGCGAAACAAATAATCTCATTCGCTAGATTAGATTAAGTATTCAAAACGCACCTTAAAACATCATCCTTAAACTTGATGATTTCTTGAATCATTTGCCAAAAATAAGGATTGAGTAAGTTCTTCTTCTGCGCAAACAAGCCGGAGAGACCATTTCGGCTGCCCCATTCACAGCCTCTGCCTTTGTCTAGGCTCACTGAGAATGACATGTCAGAAATCTCCATATCAACACCAAGACTCTCAAAGAATTCCATCATATTGGGATAAGTCACCTGTTTCAATAACCAACCCACGAACCTGTTAAGGAATTACTTCCAATTTTCTTCTCTAAAAGATTCGAGAGATCCTATCATTACTTAAAGAGTTTAGCACCATTCTTGCAATTTTATGTTATTCATATTATGAATGATGTCGTACATATTTACAAGTAATGCAATTGATTCGTGCAAAAAATAAAGACATAAAAATAAAAATCAGTGAAACTAAATACAGCTCTGTTCAAAAATGCATTTTCTCACTGAACTCCATTACATTCAAGACTGAGAAAATCTCTAATCTAATTTTTCCAAGAATTGATTATTGCTACATTTGAAATCATTTCCTTATTTCATTTGTTGGGTTTTTTTTTCAGACGCAAACACTTGTTTCTTGTAATCTTTTATATCGATCAACAACACCTCAAAGGAGCTGCTTAAGAATTCCTTTTTCCTTTTCTTTTTTTTTTTTCAGTACAAAATGGCTAAAAATATGGTTGATATAGCTTCATGCTCTCCATGATGCAAAGGAGTTCACTCAAAAATGATCAATTTATCACTATTTTTTTAGATTGTAAGTTAGAAATGCAACAAAATCCACTTAATCAGGATGGAGAAAGCACCACACACTGTTTCTTAAATTGATTGTCATTAAATATGGTAGTTAATCTATGATTTCTTAATTGGTATTGCACCCATAATTCTTCTGTTCCGTAGTACAATATAAAGGACCATCATTTTTGGAGCCACATTAATATACACACTAGACTTAAGCTGATTTAATGAGAAGCACAACACGTAAATTAAGATTGAGCTCAAGTTGAGACATGTAAAATTTCCTAAATGAAAAGAAAAAAAAATATTATTGCTTATGACCCCAGAGAGCACCTCTAATCAACCGTTGAGAGGAATTGCAAATTTATGGGAACTAAAATCACGAGATCAAGATATACATATCGGTAGCAAAAGAAAAGCACACAGTTTGGTACAACATGAACAATCACTGAGGGCTCAAGGTTTCAGCTAATAAAGATAATACGATTTCTGTCTCCCGAAATAAAATTTTACTTACAGTTTTTACGGTTTATATCGTACTAAAAGTAAAAATTCAAATTAATAATTATTTTAAGATGGAGTATCTTTTTTTTTTCCTTTCAATAAATAGAGTAAATTCCCTTTTCAAGTGACAAATTTGCAACCACTAGTCTCTCCTGTTAAGGTAACTTCTGATTACATCCTTTTTGTTTTTTTTTCCTTTAAACTGCAGTTTTAATATACATATAATATAAGCAAAATACAACCCTTTTGGTTAAATTATCGCATAAGACATTAATTCCTTTGGTTTGGAGCTGAAGCTCGTGTTCCATAACCTAATGCTACCAAAGAAGGCACAAAATCTAAACAGAAGTCTGACATTACAAATGGACACGACGAGCGGCCTGGAATCTCTAATAAAATTTGAATGGCCCCAAATGTTGTAGGGGAATATAAATATCTGGATAGAGAAATCCAAACTATGAACAGAATCTTTTTCCTCTCTGAGCTGTTTAAATAGTTTATCTTATCTTCCGTTATTAAATATTTCTTTTTAATTTCTTTTCAATATATTTCGAACATTATTCGGCAGGATAGCTGGGTAGGTGAGATGTGAGGGATTAAGGGCGTATGTAACTTGTTATCACAGACGCCAAGAATTCGGAATCAGGTGGACATGCTTTCTACAAATCAAAAGGAGAACAAGTTTTTAGATTTGTTTGTTGAATTAATAAAACTGGCCTTTCTGCAAGATTGATAGAAAGTATATAATAATATTAATTAATTGATAAAGTGGATTAATTTCATTTATTAGCTTCCTCATAATAATGAATAAAATAACATTTTTACCGCTTAACATGCATTCTTTCTTGCATGATTAAAGTACTGACAGACTAAATTATATTTTTAAAATTTCGACCTTTGCTATACAGGAAAAGGTGTATGTTGATGGGATGGCGCCTCTAGGAGATTCCCAAACCTAGTAGGTTTTTCTATTATTTATTTGTGTTTTTTTTTTTTATTAATCACTACTCTATGAAAGCTTAATTTGGTCCTAAGAAATGTGTAGTTACTTACCTCTCTAATCATCTAACAATATAAGAATTATTAGTAACGCCAATTATCTTAAGGTTGAAAGAGGAATACTCATTCATGTGTTTATTGTAAAACATTTTGATTTGATAAATAGTGATAGGTACAAGAAAAAAATAACAAGTAAAAAACCACTAAGAATGATGTGTCAGGATTGTAACTATGCCCTAACTTTAAATGCATAAACCTTGTTTGAAAAATTTTCACAAAGATGGATAAAATCATTTCCTTGTGATTTTTTCTTGTTATATTTTCTTTGTACCAATCATTATTCTTTTGATTTGTTTTAAGTTTCATTTCTTGTGACTTCTAAATTGAAAATAAAATTCTAAACATTTATTTCAGCATTTATTGTATTCTTTCAATATTAAAAAGAATTTTAAGAATTCATGTGAAAACACACAATAAATAAATAAATAAAATATAAGAAAAATTAAAATATTTTATAATAAAGGTCGGAAGGATTATATAACTAACGGACGTGATTAGCCGAAAGGGATATGTACGAAAATTGAACGACCATTTTATAACTTAGACTGGCAATTTGAAGGTAAATTATTATTATTCTGACACCGAGACACGTCAACACATTATTTTCTACTAGCAGTGGGTAGTATTTGGTTTTGAATGAACAAAATTCATCTCCATAACTGCCGTTCCTTTATTGGGGTGATAATATTATTTTGTCAGGTTTAAGAAAATAACCCTAAAAGAAATTGATTGATGACGCTATTAAAGAAGGCCACCAAAAAGTCTTGATATAATAAAAATCTCAAAATCTGGGTTCGTGCAACTCTAAAAACAAACAGTGCAGAGACATTGGAGAGACTCTAAATGTTACTTATGCTACAAGATAAAATTTAACTCGAGAATTTAAATTAAAATCCAACCAGGAGATTAATTCATTATTTTTTTGTACAAAAAGAGAGGCATAATGCTAGTTACAAAAAATCAATGATATTTCTTGAATAAGAAACGCTAATTAAATCATGTTACAGATAAGGTTTAACTTCATTAAGATTTTACTACAGTGACACTATTATTATTATTATTACAGATAATGTTTGACTTCATTAAGATTTTACTAATTATTATCATTACGACATGAAAATTGACAAATCTTATAATAAAGTAAACAGAAAGAACATAATCATTTCGGAAGAGAAAGAATATAAAATGGAAAAATAGAGAGAGAGAGAGAGGGAGGTTTGAGAATGCATACACGATTGAAGACCATGAAGCCGAGATCAAGGTCAACGCCGTCAATTGTAACGGTGTTGGCATGGCCGCCCAAGTAAACCTCTTTCTCGTACAATGTCACATTCACACCTTCTTCTGCCAAAACATGTGAAGCCACCAGCCCACTTATTCCGGCACCCACCACCGCCACTTTCATCTTCATACTGCCGGAAAAAAAAATTTCAGGCCCCAAATCCACTCAAAGTGCATTTGACAAATCAATCAATCAAGAACATCATCAAGTTCCTCGTAGACTTCCAAAAAAAAAAAAAAAATTAAAAAACATCTTGGTTTTATACCCCAATGCCCCTGTGTATCATGAATTCAGTCTTTTGGAAGAAATGGAGCCAAAAATTGAAGAGAGATAATGGAAAGAAGGAAATGTATGGATGTGGAAGACTTTTCTTCTCTTATCAAGATAGCATTTTGGATAAACAAAGGGATAACTTTTACTATAATGTGTATATATTATATGATATGAATCTTAAATATGGCATACCAGATTGAACGAAATGAACCATCTTGATAATTCATTAGACAGAATACGAAAAGGGATGAAATAAATGGAGTAATTTTTTTAATTTTTTTTTAGTTTTTTGGTATTGAATGTGTTACCTTATTGGCTTCTGAAATTGGCTGCGTAAAATTTGGAGGAAAATAATGCTCAGAGGGAAGATTTTTGAAGGAAGTAGATTTTGATACTAATAACAGTTTCCTTCTTTTTCTGGAATGAGAGCCAATCTCCAACTGGAAAAATGCAACCAAATTGGTGGCATGTGCTACTCTCTGTTCTGGTGATTGTCTCCCTTTCTTTCTACTTATCAGGGGCTACATATATATTCTCTTTTAGTGTGTGACTGTGTGTGAATTGTGATTGGTGGAAATGTTCTATGAAAATTTGGACAGAATCTAAGGGGCTAAACTTTAAAGAAATCTTTTAAAATATACTTCCTTCGTCTCATAATTATTGTTCAGTTTAGGTTTTCATTTCTAATTTAAATTGCAGTAAAAGTGAATACTCAAACTGGACAATAATTTTAGATTTTGGGACAGAGAGAGTATAACAAATAGTCAAATACAGAGGACTGGGGGAGGCAAGAATGGCCACGACTGCCCCCCTTTGGACGTTTTCTACTTGTACAACTAATAGTCCGCTCTAGATAAGGGTGCCCATTTGTAAACCGTTTTATAAACATTTAGAGATGTTACAAAAGTAAATTGTGAATTTTATAACTTTCTTATTATAGTACAAAACTAAAAGGGCAACATTGCTCCGGTTATTTTAACTCTCTTAAATTTCCTAAACTATGAAGCTGTGTAAATCTTTTCCGATCGGTAAATTTGTCCCCAAAAAATAATTTATTTTGATCTGTAGGAACTGAAGAGAATGGTTCAAGGAATAGGAAATTTTTATATGCATACGTGGACATTTTGAGTTCACTTCTAGATATTGCGCTAGACATGTGATAAAATAATACAAAGTGTTAGTCTGCAACATTATAGAAATTGAACAGACCGGCTGTTTTGTTCTATCAAGTGTCACCTTGAATTCACTTTTTATCCCCCCAAAAAAAAAACAATTTTATTTTATTCAGCAAAGAAGAATGAAATTCGCACTCGCTCAACTCCGAGATGAAAATTCACTTTGTTGAACTAAAATCGGTATAATAGACAAAACAAATTATTTTGTGACAAACGGAGTTATATGATATTTGTGTCAATTTTTTTCGTCTAGTTTTTTTTGGTTGAGTAACTTTTGCATTTCAAGCTCCTATCCGGCTTAAATTTTAAGTGTGTCTTAGAAAAATAAAAGATTCCAAACAAAAGGGACCAGTAGGCAGAGAATAGAATTCATATAATTCCAAGTTCTATGCATTTTAGAAATAGCCATTATATTGAATGGGGAATACTATTTTTTTTCAGTTTTTGCGGTCAATGGTAGGCTCCTTAGTCATGGATGTGCAATACCATAAGTTGATACGAACCACACAATGTTGGCAAACAATAATCATGCAACGTGTTGAATTATTCACCGTGTTCCTATTCTTTTCTATCTCACATTTTGATTAATTTGTTGTTTTTTTTACTTGTTCTAGAACGGGCATTATGATAATAGATCTAATAAATTCATCGGATGAAATATTAATGGAACATACGTGTAAATACATACATTGATTAAGGGGATGAGAATTGAATGACAGTCTAGTGGTTAGGTTGCTATCTTTTCTGGTAATAAATAAGATTGGAGTTTTAGAGGGAGTTTTACCCACATTTAAATGGAGTCCACTGGGATGGATTCAAAAAAAATAAAAATACATTAATTAAAGAGGAATTACATATTGAATAATTAAGAGCTTGTTTGGCCAATATTTTGTTTTTGTTTTTATTTTAGTTTTTGATTTGGTTTTGAAATTTTGATTTAAAATGAGTTTTGAAATAAAATTTAAAAAGTTGTTTGGGTAATATTTTAAATAAAATAATAATATTTTTAGAGAACTACCGAACCACCTCCACCAACGGCGTCGCCGCCGGATTGCTTATCGCCGCCACCGCCGGCGACCGGCCAGCCGGATTCTAGCCAAATTCCGTCGAGTTGGCCAGAATTTGGCTGGAATCCTATTGGCCGGTCGCCTGCCGGCGGCTGTGGGTGGTCCGGTAGGGCCGGTGACGGCAGAGGTGGTCCCGCTGGTTGTGGAGAAAAATTATGTAAAAATAATTTTTAGAATATTTTTTAAAAGGTAAATTAAAAAATTATTTGGATAATATTGGGATTTTTGTTTGAGAGGTATTTTAAGAAGTAAAATGAGACAAAAATGCAAAAAGTGACTTGTCCAGACAAGATCTAAGATACCATGTTGTTTGTTAATTTTACCGTACTTTTTTCTCGCGTGGTCAGGTAATGAGGACGTTTGATATTTTACCTCCTTATTTTCACCAAGAAAAAAGGTTAAAAAAAAAGGAGTTATTTTGTATTCACATCATTTACGCAATAACTTCATTAGGTGAACTCAATATAACATTTATCACTATTCGTCTAGAGAGAATTGTATTTCTTTGATTTTGATCATTCTTTTCACTATAAAAGTGAACAAAGAATAAGCTCCTAATGAATCAGCAAAACAAAACCAAAAGAATGCAATGAGAACATTCATTTTAGAACTTAATAAAAATTTTATTGATATTGTGAATCTAACAAAAGAAAGATTGGACAGCCCAGTCCTTATTTACATATGGGCTTGGTATGAAACTTTATGGAAAATGCTAAACGTAGCCCAATTAATGCTAGTGAAGCCCAATCATTTACAATTCTGTCCTTATTTGAATAACTATAAAAATTAATTTTTTTTATTATTTTAAAATCTACAACCTTCTAATTTTCATTAATCTTCAACTCTTAAAGTATTTCTTTGAAGAAATCATGACAAATCGCACCTAAAGAGGAGAAAAAAGCTTGCTGCAGGTGTGTATATATTTTTTTTCCGTTTTTTTCACGCATATATATGTATATTCTCGCTGATTTTGGAACAAAATAAAAAAAATAAAATTCTGAGAAATGTCGTGCGCCCTACCTGGGCGGACGGCCGACAGCGGCGTGCCTGACGGCTGATGGCCGCTCGACGGTGACTTGCGCAGTGAAGGCGCACGGCCAATGGGCCTCCCGCGTTAACCCGGTGGACAAACGATTGGCCGCAAGCCTTCTCTGTGCGAGTCACTGTCGAGCGGCCTTCAGCCGTCAGGCATGCCGTCGCCGGTCATCCGCCCAGGTAGGGTGCGCGACATTTCCAGGTTTTTTTTTTTTAATTATGATGTAACTAATTTGTTTTATTTTCACTCTTTTTTAATTAAATGTTATATAATTATGTTATAAATTATATTTTTTTTATTACTTGATGTATTTTGTAAAATAATTAGTAATTTGATATTAGTTAATTGATTAATTAGTTTGGTTAAGGTGAGGTTAATTTAGGTGAAGTTAAATATTAATTTATTTAAGTAAAGCTACTTTGTTTTGTTCTTTTCATTAATTTAATTTGTTGAGGTAAAACTAATTAATTTATTTTTTATTAGGTAAAGCTAAATTTTTTTAGTTTGTTTTTATCAACTATTGGCATTTGTGTAATAAATTATTAATATAGTTGTACATATAAGTTTTCTAGCTTGTTTAATGTTATTTAATTATTTAGTTAGTAAATAAAATATACTATAAAATTAAACAATTTAATTTTAATAATGATTGAATTTAATAATAAGTCCGATAATGTTTTTCATTAGGTTTTTTTTTAAAAAAAAAGTTGTTGTAATTTTACGATACATGAAATTTCGTAGATCTACTCAATAATTTTACTTTTTTTCATTATAATAGTTTAGTGGAGGTGCTGGAAAATCTATCCCGGCACATATTCTCCGGGGTGAAGGCTCATATTCTCAATCTCACGAAGAAGTTATTATTCAGGTTCAAAAACGAGGAACATGTGGTCGTTTTACAAGCAGTGGGTCATCAGATAAAAAGTTAACATAAATAATTTAATTAATTTTTTAGAATTAATTGTTAATGATGAGGAGGGGTTTTATTTCTATTATATAAATAACTTTTTTGCAATTTAATATATATTATTGTGCAACATCATTATAGGGGGTAACAAGCGTTTGAAGATTGACGAAAGTGATGATAGACCCTGGATAGTTAGTGTTCCATTACCCGGTGGGCCATCTGATGCTATTGTCATTTCTAGTTTTCTTGGGCATGTAGCCTCTCAAATCTGGAAAAGGCAACCACAGAGGCCTCCTCAGGATACAAACCAGAAGTACAGTTTGTGCCAAGTTGAGAGATTGGTACTAGGAGCATATGTCGCCTGATGCAAAAGTTTTAGTTGAAGGGACAGATTTATCTCACCTTCAGGACATCACATTCGAACACATAGATGTTCCATTGATATGTGCATTCGTGGAAAGGTGGTAGCCGGATACTAACTCTTTCCACATGTTATTTGGCGAGATGACCGTCATTTGGCATGATATTTGGCATATTCTGTGCATTCCGGTGGACGGAGATATGATTACTACAGAACCTACTATAGAAGAGTTACTTGTACTCAGTATCGATATATTGGAGGTACATGCCAACAATATTAAAATTGACTATGATGGTGGTGGAATTTTAAA